TGCAATCAAGGTCAGGGATTTAAAACCGCCAGCCACTCCATAGGAGAAAGGGCTTTCTGTAAAGAGTTAGTCTCAGAAACTCAACAAGAGCAGTTCTACCCAGTCCTATAAGTTCACGGTAAGTCGGCCTCGACTTGAAGGCAGCAAGTTTGTTTGTTTTTAATTTAAGGTTCCGATTTAATTTTTCAAGTTGCAGTTAGCCCTTTGATCCAGTATATAGTTCTTAAAAGAGAATAATATTTTAAAAATAGTTAGCCAAGCTATTGTTTGGTTTAAAGAACATTTCAGGGAAGGATATTTTGTTTTATAAAGATTATTTCAGGGGTTTATCTAACTATGGTACCATGAAGTGTAGGTTCCATAAGAATTTAAACTTTTATTTTACATTTTCCTCATCAGATTCTTCTTTGGAATCTTTGACCAAAATGATAGCTGGGCACCATCCAGTTCTTTTGGTCTCGTGGTAAAGGAGGCAGTTGTTTATGGCAGCAATTAGCTACACATTTCATTTCCTCCTGTTTCTGACTTATTTTTCCTCTGCTGTTTGTGGTGAATAGACACCATTTGTGCCATGGATGACCTGCTGCTAGCAGGTACTATGAATTGAACTAGGAGCTAAAAGTAAACATGTTATTAGGCCAGTTAACTGTGATGTTCCGTGAAACCATGACCCCAAATCTCCAGACAAGGGAACCAAATGCCTTGAAGTTTTTTGTTGTACATAAGCAACCTCATAATCTACTCTTCTCCCCTATTGACCCTCTACCCTAACCCCTTGGTACTTAGAACTATATCTGTGGCAGAACTTTTGCCAATTTAGGCTTTGGGGTGGAAAGGGGTAACCAATCACAAGGATTTGCATATAACCTCCTCCCTGGGGGATGGACAACAGAAAAGTGGGTGAAGGGAGACATCGGACAGTGTAACGTATGACAAAATAATAATAATTTATAAATTAATCAAAGGTTCATGAGGGAGGGGGGAGCTGAGAGGGAGGGGAAAAATGAGGAGTAGCTACCAAGGACTCAAGTAGAAAGCAAATGTTTGAGAGTGATGATGGCAACAGATGGACAAATGTGCTTTACACAATGGATGTATGTATGGATTGTGATAAGAGTTGTACGAGCCCCTAATAAAATGATTTTAAAACAAAATAGTAGAATTTATCAACAGCAATTACAGTAATTGGCTGTGCAACTAAAATTCTAGTCAGTGTGTTATTTCTTTTTCTTTTTAAAAATAATTTTATTAGGGGCTCATATAACTCTTATTACAATTTATACATACATCAATTGTGTAAAGCACATTTGTACATTCATTGCCCTCATCATTCTCAAAACATTTTTCTCTCCACTTAAACCCCCGGCACCAGGTCCTCATTTTTCCCTTCCCTCCCCGTTCCCCCTTCCCTCATAAACCCTTGATAATTTATAAATTATTATTTTGTCATATCTTGCCCTGTCCGATGTCTCCCTTCGCCCACTTTTCTGTTGTCTGTCCCCCGGGGAGGAGGTCACATGTAGATCCTTGTCATTGGTTTCCCCTTTCCAACCCACCCTCCCTATACGCTCCCAGTATTGCCACTCACACCACTGGTCCTGAAGGAATTATCTGGCCTGGATTCCCTGTGTTTCCAGTTCCTATCTGTACCAGTGTATATCCTCTGGTCTAGCCAGACTTGCAAGGTAGAGTTCGGATCATGATAATGGGAAGGGGGGTGGGGTGGGAGGCGGAGGAAGCATTTAGGAACTAGAGGAAAGTTGTAGTTTTCATCATTGCTACATCGCATCCTGACTGGCTCATCTCCTCCCTGAGACCCCTCTGCAAGGGGATCTCCAGTGACCTACAAATGGGCTTTGGGTCTCCACTCCTTACTCCCCACCTCATTCACTATGGTAAGAGTTTTTGTTCTGATGATGCTTGATACCTGATCCCTTCGACACCTCGTGATCGCACAGGCTGGTATATTCTTCCATGTGGGCTTTGTTGCTTCTGAGCTAGATGGCCGCTTGTTTACCTTCAAGCTTTTAAGACCCCAGACGCTATATCTTTTGATAACCGACACCATCAGCTTTCTTCACCACATTTGCTTATTCACCCGCTTTGTCTTCAGCGGTTGTGTCGGCAAGGTGAGTATCATAGAATTTATTTATTTATTTATTTAATTTTTTTTTTAGCATTTTATTTGGGGCTCATAGAATTTAATAGAAGAATATATTCTTGCATTTTGGGAGTACTTGAGTGCAGGCCCAATGTCCTTCTGCTACCTTAATACTAAACCTATAAATATATGGACATAGATCTACCTCCCCATCCTCATATATAAATATATTTGCCTATGTACATGTCTTTATCTAGACCTCTATAAATGCCCTTTGCCTCCCAGCTCTTTCCTCTATTTCCCTTGACTTTCCTCCTGTCCCAGTATCATGCTCAGTCCCCACCAGGGTTTCAGCAATTCCTCTTTGTTGCATTACCCTTAATCATGCCCTACCAGGCCTCCCACACCCTCCTCACCATGGATTTTGATCACTTGTTGTTCCCTTGTCCCTGGGTTTATTAACACCACTTCCTTTCCCCCCACCACCCCCTCTCCCATGTCCCCCTGGAACCGTTGGTCCCGTTGTTTTCTCCTCCAGATTGTCCATCCAGCCTATCTTATTTAGACAGACCCGTGGAGATAATAACACCCACAAAAACAAGACAGAGCAAAACCAAGCAACAATACACAACAAAACAACAAACCAATGACAAACAACAAAAACAAAACACAACAAGAAAGAAAAGCTTGTAGTTAGTTTAAGGATCATTTGTTGCCCTTTAGGAGTGTTTTCCAGTCCAGTCTGTTGGGGCACCATGCCCTGGCCCCAAAGTCCACCTTTAGCATTCCCTGGGGACCTCACCGCTCCATTCCCTTGCTGTTCTGTTGCACCCCCCTTAGTGTTTTGGCTCAGTGTGGCGGGATCAGATTGGGTGCAGTTCCCACACTGTGTCTCTGGTGCTGTCCCCATAGGGCTAGGGGTCAGTGAGCGGTGTCATGTCTCATAGTGGGGCTGGCCATGTGGTCCTCTCTGTGGACTTGCTCTAATTGGGATCATTGCCCTCAAGGCCTGGTGGGCCAGGATGTGCTCCACTCTCTCCTCCTCCCCCTTCATCTGTTCCCGTGTGCTCTGATCAGATATGTCCCTCTCCCGGAGCTGCAGATTCAATGTCATCCTTTGAAATAAATTCTTCTGGGTGGAGGGGCAGGTGTCCACTGTTATTTCTATCACCATTAAAATTACCTTTTGGATTCCCTCCTCTGGTAACCTACATTTTTCTCCACACATTGGCCTTTTCTTGTTGTTTTATGTAAGTGGGCTATACAATATTTGTCCTTTTGTGATTGATTTAACGCAGCATGGTGTCTTCCATAAAGAAAACAAGAATCCCACAACCGAACCAATAAATAACATGGTAAACTGTGATAAGATAGAAGTTATTAAGGATTTAATTTTCATTGGTGGGTTTCACAATCAATACCCACGGAAGTGACCACCAAGAAATCAAGCACTGTATTTGTTGCATTGGACAAATTACTCCAAAAAGACCTCTTTAAAGTGTTAAAAAGTATAGATGTCACTTTGAAGACTAAGGTGTACGTAACCCAAGTCATGGCATTATCATTGCTACATGTGCATATGGAAACTGAACAATGAATAATGAAGATAGCAGAAGAATTAATGCTTTTGAATTATGGTATTGGTGAAAAATAATACATAGTGTCACAGACTGATAGAAGAACAACCATCAGTGTTGGAAGAAGTACAGCCAAAAAGTGAGCCTCGTGAGAGGTACTAGTACTAGGGATACATATATAAGCAAGATAAATCAGGTAGATAAGCCTTTTAATCGTGGAGAGACAGATTCACTGAACAAGTGAAATTCCTTATTGATGAGGGCTATAAAGGAGAAGCACAAGGTGTTACGCACACTTTTAATGGGGCTTTTTCTCTGTGTAAATCAGGCGTATGGGAAGCAAAGTGTAACATTTCTGGGGAAATGTTTAAACTGAGGATAAATGAAAAGCAAACAGGAGAAAGGAGGCAGTTTTTGTGTTGTGGGGTGCAGTGTTTTTATCAACTATGGATAGAACACCTACTGTGTGTTTACCTTTCTCAGTGCTTGATTTTTTTTCTATAGTATGAAAGTTACACACTAATGAAGTTAATGTACTTCAGACTTTTTGGGTCTTCTTTGAGAGATTTATTCCAACCTGAATAGCATATTTAAAATAGAAGAATTGGTTCTATGTGTGTGTTGGTAAAGCTCTTCAACATCTGTGAAATTAAATAAAATTTCCCTGCTTGATATTGGTTGTAAATTTATATTTTGTATAATGGCTCTCTTTTAGAAAATAACATTAAATAGAGCATTATAGGTATCAGTGAATTGTAGGGACTCTGGCTGTACAACGGTTAGCACTTAGCTACTGAAAGGTCCACCGCTTGACCTCACCAGCTTCTCCATGTGACAGTCTGCTCTCATAAAGATTACAGATTAAGAAACCCAATGGGGCAGTTGTACGCTGTCCTATAATGTCTCTGAGTAGTTTGAATTGATTCTATAGCAAAGTATGTATCAGAATCAACTTGCGGGAACAGCAACACATGAAGTATAATTTTCTGTAAATTTTATTTCAACAAACATTTGATATCTTATTCATAATTGTGCTATTGCTTATTCAGTGCCTATTGTGTGTTGAGGAAGCTTTCTACATTTTATATAGGCATCTGACTTAATCTTGATTCCAATTCTGTAATATACCTTTATATCTCCATTTGTGTATTAAGATGATGAAATGGAAACTCAGAGGCATACTCATTATTTACAGCTAGGATTCAAACCATACCTTTGATATCTGAGAATGTTTTTGTTTCTTTCATGCTAAATTATATTTTTGGAGTGAGCTTGCAGTTTTTCACAAACTATAATCATTCTCCCTATTGCTTTCTTTTTAGGATTTTGTCAGGATGAATTGGCAGAGCTTGATCCAGGCACTAGTAAGTTCTGAAAATTCCTTGATGTTTATTGGTAAGAAAAGTATGTGTAAACTTTTAAATATATAAACTTGTTGCTGATAAGTTTATGACTTAGGTTTTTATTTCACTTTATTTAATTTCACTGTTTTAATTTATAATTATGGGAAGAGTATCTTTTTAAAGCTATGTTTTCATTTTTCTTTTTTTCCTTTTTTCTTAATATGATCAGAATATACACATTTAATGGAAAGTCAATTTGCTGAAATTTCTTCTTAATATCCATTTTCTTGTTTTAATTCTTTTACAAGACTAGTAACAGAAAATATTTTTATTAATAACAAAAATATTTTTACCTTTGCACAGAGAATCATGTACTCTCACCGATTTCCTAAAATATTGACTAGTTTTAGTTAGACACAGTTTCTTTGCAAAGATACATTATGCTTGGTTTAGAAACTGATAATTATCTTTTTACTGAAGCTTAATTTGTAAAGCACTGTCATTTTCAGTCTTAGGTCATGAGGGGTCACCTTTTAAAGGTTTAACTAAATGATGTGTTTTAGGATTGTATAAGTCTTGGGCATAGATAATCATTTGTATTTCTGGTGCTACCAAAATGTAGTCTGTACCTTTCTGGGAAAATTGTTATAATTGTTAGAGATATATCGTGTACATAAGAGTACTCGGTGTATTTAGATTTAATTTTCTTACCGTGTTGAAAGATCAAGTGATAATTCAAATGGGAATCTATGAGAGTCTAGAGCTATTTTTCTTATTCTAGTACATTTTAGGGTCATGGGACTGGCTATTTGCCACTAATCTGTCTGAGCTCAATATTAAAGCTTACCTCATCATCCTAGCTAATATCAGCTCTCTAAGGTTGTGGGTCTTCTCACATATTTTATATTTGAAACTCCTCAAGCCCCCAAAACATACCTTGCATAGTATAAATATTCATGTTTTTTCAGTTAATACTGGTTGAGTTACAAAACAAGTTACACAATGTATCAAACATCTGTCATTTTAGAAGTTGTCTAAAGCAATTTTCTATTAGATAGTATAGTCCCTCTTTACCCTACCACTACTCCCATCAGGCCAGTACCTCTGAGTGACTACATTATTTTTTTCTCTGTCTTTTTCTCTATGAATAATAGCCTTACATGGAGAAAAAGATAAAGTGAGTTGTTTTTTTTGTATTTTCTTTATTAGAAGTTTTTTGAACACTAGAAAGACATTGAACTATACACAAAACATGCCAGATAGTTGAAAATTCAGTCACACATTGAGTGTTCTTTTGTTCTAGGTACTAGGGATATGATAGTGTAGTATCTATCCTCATGGATTAATAGCCTCGTGGAAAAGATTTCCTTGTTTGGAATTATTTAAACAGACACTTTTACTACCTCTAATTTTGCACTTAGTACCCAAACTTATTTTTTTTCCAGAGCTTATAATAATTGAAAATAATTCATGTTCATCTTCTAAGGCCCTTGATATTCTTATAAACATAATTGCTTAAGCATTTTTTCTAAGTCAAATAATCCTACCACATTTAACCTTTTTTTATATATGTTCTAGCTAGATGTGTTGACTTAGACAGTTCCCTTTTCCACGAAATAAACAAGTAGTGAATCATGGTTTTATATATCAATATAAAATGGTGCCGCCCTAAAACAGTGGTTCTCAACCTGTGGGTCACGATCCCATTTGGGGGTCAAATGACCCTTTCACAGGGGTTGCCGATTCATAACTAGCAAAATTACAGTGATAAAGTAGCAACGAAAATAATTTTATGGTGTGGGGGGTGTCACCATGAGGAACTGTATTAAAGTGTCGCGGCATTGGGAAGGTTGAGAACCACTACCCTAAAAAAGTAACTTTTCTTTTTAATAATTGTACATAGCATATAAGGGTAATATCCTCAATAAATTTTATATTATCTTTGTGAAGTTAGTAGTGTTAATATTCTTGCCCCCACAGAAATACAATCTGATTCTTATAAAAGTAATGGGCAGAAATAAAATTTTATCACCTCAATCAGCACCAGTCTAGGAATTCATATGAGTTGGCTTAGCCTTACTAAGTTTTAGGAAGCCTCAAGGCTGAGATGGCTTGTGTACATGCTGTTAAATTCAAGGCTGAGATGGCTTGTGTACGTGCTGTTAAATTCCTTAGAGGTGTTGATAGTTCAAAATCCATGGCTTCTTATTGGGAAGGACTATCTCCTACTTTTTTTGGGGTGGGGCGGCTTAAAGAGTTTTATTGGCGTATAATTCACAACCTATCCTATGTTAATAAGTCATGACTTTCTCACATGAGTAAGAAATGTCTCTGTGTTGCATCTTTGGAATCTGGAGGTCCCAGTGTGTTACTTCACTCCTAATTCCCTCTTCAATTCCTGGTAGGGAAAGCTCACACTTGCATATTTGGAAATAGGAAATACTGTTGTTAACATATGTTGGGCAATGATTGTGGACATCAGATTTGGGAAAACAGGTGGGATGTTTTGGAAGTAGTTAAGGAAAGACTGACTCATCCAATTCAAGTGGCCTTTAAAACGTTTCGGTGATATAGCAGTTGGGCTGCCATGCATAAAATATGGACAGCTGTTCACACTCTGACTGCCTTCGTCCGATTCCTGGACTTCCTGGAGTCCAATGTTATGGCACAGGTTCAGGCTAAGTTCATTTCTACACGAAGCCTCCCTGTACCCAACTTATTAGCATAAACTAAGGACAAGGGCAGTCAAAGGTCAAGAAGAGAAGTTCAAAACTGCACAACCTTTTTGTGCTTCTGTTTCCAAATAACCCCAGTCTCCCCTTCTTCCCTAGTTTTTTCCTCAGCCATCGTGTTTACTGTGTAATTATAAAACTCAAGAGAACAAGAACCAACGTGATACAAGGGAAGTTAGAGAATAGAAGTCATTGTTCTTAAAACAGGAAAAATAATTGATTTATGTTTGGGGACCAATTAGGCTATAAAACAGGAACAGTAAATGGACCTGTGGCTTCAGGACAGCTACTTGTTCTGATTTCTGTTCCACAGACAAGAGGCTCCTCAATAAAAATTGTCAGCTTCGTAGGCTAAATTATTAATTCCTTTCATGCTTCACAGGGATTGTAAACAGCACGTAATACAGGAAAACAATTGATTATTCAGTTATTGGCCAGATAGGGGGGTCAAAGGGTAAAGAATTGGATTAGCAACAGCTGTTCTTCCCAGTTATGTTTTTGTTCCTTTAAAAAAAAAATCTTATTTCAGCAATACAGTTTCTATATTTTTGCTGTCTATATCATTAAACTTAAGTCTCTTTTTGTAAAATAATTTCATAGATAATTAAATGGAGAATAGATATTGACTAAAGTTCAAAAACACACATACTTTGTTTCCAAAGTTGAATATGATATTCTTTTTAGTATGTATACACTAGGTGGCTTGTAAAAAGTATATTCTTGATTCAAGGTAAGTAACTATTTGAAGTTAGATCAAAAACTTTTAAAGGAATTTTTATCAGCTGGTTGATGATCTTGGTGCAGCTTGATTAAAAGGGAAAAAAAGCCTTTTAAACTGTTTTAAACAGACAGTAGCATGCTTATTGTGGAAAATACAGAAAACATTGAAAGAAAGATACGAAAACCTAGAAGTAGCCATTGTTTCTCATTTGAGAATATATCCATCAGTTTGTCTGGATTAATTTTTAACACAATTAGGAATCCTGATATGTATGTAATTCTGTGTCTTATATTTCCTAGTCAGCCTTTCATAAAATTTTTAACGGTAGGATATAATTTTATTGTAAGTTATCATGATTTATTTTTCATCATTTAAATTATTTTCACTTTTTCTTCTTTACAAACAGTGCTATAATGAGCACCTTTGTATATAATTTTTTTTCCCTGCCGTTCAAATGAGTGCTTTAGCTTTTGTGCACAATGCTTCAAATAATTTGTGGGAAAATGGAATGAGAACATAATAGATTTTTTTTTAAGCTTTCATAACATTAAACCTATTCTGAACTTAAAGCCTGGACTTTGACTTATGATTACTTGGATTTATCTTGACTCCAATATGTATAGCTCTGTGATCTTGGTTATTTAATTTCTCTCTACTTCAGTTTTCTCACCTATAAATTGGGGATGGTAAAAATTTAGTCCTACTTTATAAGACTGTTGTGAGGATTAAATAAACTGATATGTGTATGGTGTTTAGAAGAATGTTTGGTAAATGGTAAACACTATTAAGTGTGTCCTGTTCTAGGCTATTTAGTAAAATGTTGAAATTCTTACTGTTTTTATACTAATGGGATGCTATAATGGCACTTTCTTAAATTAAACTAGCCTATGTTTCTTAATGACACACAGAGAAACCATTCCAGATGTTAGCAGGTGTTAGTTTTCAAGTAAACATTTAATTAGAGGAGCAGACTTTGTATACTGCTGATTACTTTGGCCAAAACTCTTCTTTATCATCTGGTTGTTGGTTAGGCTGTTTGGTTCCCTCCCTCACCCAGCAGCAGGTACCCATCAATCCAAATGATGACCATCTGCCATCCCATTTCTTTAACCTCTAAGGAGACAAAAAATATTAACTTCTACTTATTTTAAAACAAATATACAGGGTATGTATTCTGTTTAGTTAACAGGAAGGTTTTAGAGAAAGCATTCTGAGGAAAAGAATTTATGCAATTAAAAACCTGACCATTACTATTTAACAAATCCAGCATATGTGGAGTTTTTGCTGACTCAGACTTTAAATAAAATGTTCTGCGATGATTAAGGACCTAGATAAATGAGCATTCAAAAAGAGACTTGGAAGTTAAATTAATCCTATCCTGACCATAGGATTTTCTTGCTAACAGAACTGTTAAATGTCTGTCTGTCTTTCTATCTATCTATTTAATCTATAGCTTCAGAGTAAGACTTCATGGTATCACTAGCTTGCTCTAGCTTTACATTAAGCTGAAAAGAGTCTTGGGGCATCTGAAGTTCAAAAAAAGCAATCAAACAGATGTGAAGGAGCGT